GCTTACAATTATCTATATGCCGTGGTAAACTCTGATTGCTGAAGGTGTTAAAGTAATGGAGCTCTAAATTTAGCTCATTCTCCCTTCCGTTCTGCATGCTTATCCTTTGCATGTATTTGTTTTTGTGGTCACAGCTACGCCTGGAAACTTTAATCTGTCTCGCAAAAATTCTGGAGTACTTGGACAAGTGGTGTGTTATGGAGGACGTCTTCCCTTTCCTTGTGGAGATCAAGTCACGTGAACCCACCATAATCGTTGCTGTCCTGAGTAAGTGCCTCTAGTCTCGAATTTGATCCCCGGGTGCAATCCAACCTATGTAGACAAGGCGAACTCGGGAACTTTTCCCGATTACTACTGTCGTTATGTATGTTTTTATTGGTTTCTTCATCGCGAAGGTCTTGCCCATCCAGCCTGGTATTCATGACCTTAACCACACAGATAGGGAGTAAGCCTCGCAGCTGACTCCTACCGCAAAACATCTTATTATGTTCACCCCTTCGTCGTTCGCTTCATGTCTGCATGTATGGATCGAGACTGTCGGATTAAACAAGATGAGACTAAACAGGGGATCAGAAGCCTTTCCTCTCTATTGTGAGGGCCTTGCGCTACTTTTCATAGTAATAAGAGGTTAACGGGTAGGATTAAGGTTCGGCTAAGGGTTACGACTTGAAATTCTTAATACTTCGTATAATTTTGCGCGAGACTACCTCTACCGGAAGGGGAGGTTCCTTCTCCCGTGTTTTACCCAATATGGCTCGGAATTGACTGTGTGCCTTTTAGACGCTTGCAAGTGTGGAGCCCCTGGTTACGTGTCATGTGACAATGCGACTTCGATGCAGACACTGAGGTGACCCACTGGATTGATGAAAAAATATCTAAATTTAAAAGGCATTGCCACGCCAGATGGCGTGCAGCGGCGACGAAGCGGTGGCAATTAATGACTTACAGGGTGTCAATTAGGCCACTAGGGCGCCAATCACCGGGTTTATCCGCAGCATACCACAGGTGTTGTAGGGCCCCTGCGCCT